TAATTATATGGGCCAATTTTATTACCGAATTTATTGTAATTATGAGGAATTAACTAAAATATACAGTTTATAAAATTGTATTATATTCTTGTTGACCATTTAATTGTAAATTTACCTTTGAAAATTTTTTATTGTTATAATTTTATTATCATCATTGTATTCATTTAATAAATTTATTTTGACAACAACACAAGGTCAATATACAAAGATATTTTATAGATTGTTAGTTCATGTTTCAATATTTTAGAAAATTTAAAACACTTACTTTTTATTTATTTTTTATTTCTGACTGAACCCTCTGCAAACCATGCACATCCGATTTTGAAATAGAAGACGCCTTACTGATTTGGTATTTTACGATCCCTTGTTTTCCCGGCAAGAACCGCTATGCTTGTCGTGCCTGAAGGCGAATCTCCTGGAGGTCGTGGTGGGCCAGGAGGACCTGGGGGCAATCAGGATTCTTTGGGGCTTTCTCTTCCAGTTTAATCTTCTGGGGACCTTCTAATCCCTCGCCATTTCAGCGATTTCTGCCGTTAAGACCTGTATGTTGCACACGACCTGATTCAATTCTCTCTATACAGTGACGAACTTAATTTCTGGCACAGTTGGCATGTCTGACTTTGGCACCGATTTTCTTCATTAAATATAGCGATATTTACATGAAACAAATTTTATTTAAATATATTGATCAATTTCCAGCTTAATGAACTTAGTTTTATCCTTTTATATCATTCCATTAATTTATAAAAATTAAAAAACTAAAAAAAACTCCTACATTTCCCTGAACAAAATTATTGGCACACCTAACCAAAAACATTAAAAAAGTTCAAAATGAAACGGTTTATAGTATAAATTAATATTTTGTGTCTAAGCTCTTATGTTTTATGACCGTTTGGGGTCGAAAAAACCAAAGTTTGGGTGGTTCCCATTCGTATTTTAAGCCACCCCCCGGTAAATGTCACCTTAAGCTCGACCTTTGTTGATATATTGCGCTTTTTAGCAGTCTGTCCAATTCTTCCCACAAATCTTCGATGGGGATTGGATCTAGAGATCGTGGTGGATGTAATAAAGGGTATTTCTTAAAATTTACCAGCCACATACGCAGATAATGAACCGTATTATCTTGCTGAAAAGTGAATGTGACTGGTAAGTTCAACTTATCGGCTCTTTTTTTAAGATATATCTTTAGGATATCTTAAAAATTTGTTTTGTCCGTTATGCCGTATATGAATTCCATTTCTCCGGCACCAGCAGCGCACATGAAGCCCCTCACAATAACGATATTACCACTATGTTTCAAAGACGTTACAAGTTTCTCTTTTTGGAGTTCCGTACTGGGCTTGCTTCTTACTGTTTTGCAGCCATCCGATTGGGAAATGTTTAATTTTTTTCATCAGATGGGATAAAATTGTTTTAAAAGTCAACTAGCTTGCTTAAATATTTTTTGAATAGGCTAAACGCTTCTGTTGATTGACTTTTAAAATGAGTTGTTTTCGGCTAGCAACGAGAAACTGTAGTTAGCTACATACAGTGTCCTCCAAACCGAAATAGGATGAATATCTTAACCGAATTAATTTTTAAACTCTTCTACAACCTGTGTTGAAGAGATTTTCGGGTTTACCTTATCCTTCCTGATGATAGTGACCCAGTCCCGGTCGGTCAAAGCCTTAGGTCGTTAAGAGTGCTTAGCATTCTCGCTCTATAAGGCTCTCTTTAACCACTGTACAATGCTCTAAATGGTAAAACGGGATTTATTTATCATTTCCCCAATCCTCAGCATACGATTTGCCCTTATTATGTAAGTACAAAACTATTTTCCGTTGAAATTCGATAGTTTACTTTTGTTTGCCCAACATTTTGATAAAATTCGCTACTTTGGCTTAGAAAATAGGCGCTTCGACGATTTTAGGTTAAAATTTTATCAACAAGCATATTCTAAATAAAGATAACGAGGCTTCCCAGATGAAAAAAGTTAACAGATCGATCAAATTTTTACAAAATAATACTCTATGTGCCAAGTGTGCCAATAATTTTGTTCAGGGAAATGTAGGAGTTTTTTTAGTTTTTTAATTTTTATAAATTAATGGAATGATATAAAAGGATAAAACTAAGTTAATTTTGTTGGAAATTGATCAATATATTTAAATAAAATTTGTTTCATGTAAATATGGCTATATTTAATGAAGAAAATCGGTGCCAAAGTCAGACATGCCAACTGTGCCAAAAATTAAGTTCGTCACTGTATACAGGAGAGAAACTTGAATAAAAATTGTTGGCAAAAACCACCCTCCTTATTAACAACACATATGCACTTATAGTTTATAATTATATTTAATGAGTCTTTTCTTTCATTTGGCACAGCACATCTACTATTCACAAAGGTTGTTTTACGCGAACTAAACTAAATACATTTCAATGTGTCCCTTTTATAGTTGATCTTCGCAACACTTAATTCTAGGTATTTGAGGAACTCCGCAACATTTAATTCTAGGTATTTGAGGATCTCCGCAACATTTAATTCTAAGTATTTGATGTTGCTTTTGTCTTGCAGCCAAACAATGTTGCAGACTTATGTTGGTTGCATTTAATACACCTCCTCAAAAACAACATTAAATAAACTAAAAAAAACAATTCAGTACAAAAAAAAACTTATAAGACATGCTGTGCCTTCTGGGGTGCATACAATATCTTGGTTCAACATTTGTTGCATGGATTGGGGAAAACCCAGAAAAACCCAATCAAACCAAGCAAATATATATGTAGATAAATTAAAATAAATTTAAGTTCAAAAATTTAATAAAAAAAAAACGCAAAATAAGAAGATATTTCATAGTAGATAGGAGTGTTCATCCTTTTTGGTTTAGGTTTGTTGTTCATCGTCATCAGTAAGACCCATTCTGCTTCTTAGCTTGAGGAATCTGGCTGCAGGTAAAGTTTTTGTAAGAATATCAGCTAGTTGGTTGTCTGTGGAAATATACTCAAGAACAATTAGCTTATTTTCAATCTGTTCCCGAGAAAAATGGTATTTAATATCAATATGCTTTGATCGTTTGTGACATGAGGGGTTGTTTGCAATGCTAATGCATCCCTGATTATCTTCGTAAAGTTTTATCGCTTCATTAATTTCAAATTTAATACTTTTCATTAAAGACTTAATCCACAAAGATTCTCTAACTGCTTCGAATAGAGCCATGTACTCGGCTTCAGTTGATGAGGCAGCCACCGAGTTCTGCTTCTTAGTATTCCATGAAATAACATATGATTCAAATAATTTAAATATGTAACCGGTTGTACTTTTTCTATCGCACTCACTACCCGCCCAGTCAGAATCAACATATCCTGTAATAATATTTTTGAAATTAGAGTTCTTAACAAAAGTTAATTTAAGATCAGCTGTTCCTTTCAAATACCTAAGAACTCTTTTTAAACATGTCCATAATTCAATATTATTATTATTAGTATATCTACTTAATATACTAATTGATGCACACAAATCCGGTCTTGTACACAACATTACATACATCAAGCAGCCTATTAAATTTCGACACGGTGCATCATAACTTTCTTTTGAGCTTAAGGCCGCAAAATTTATTTTACTTGGTAGTGGAGTGCTTACTGGATTACATTCTTCCATGTTAAATTTCTTTAAAATATTTTTAATATAAGGCGTCTGGCTGAGCTCGAACTTGTTTGATTTTCTTTCTATTTTTATTCCTATAAAATAACGAATTTCAAGTAAGTCAGTCATTCTAAATTTTGTCATGAGATATGATTTTAGTTTAGTCATGGTGTCATGGCATGAAAATATCGCCTGCGGCTATCGATCACAGCCCGAATGCAACAAAAAGAAGAGGAGAAGCTAATACGGTCTTCCCACACAGCCCATCTGTGAGGAACGTTTGGGATTTTTCGCAGATGCGAAACTCGTGTTCCCACAGAGCTGCATCAAAGTGCATCTGCATCCGAACAGCTGATCGATCAGCTGTGGCTCATGAAAACGTAAACAAAGGCGGTCGAATTGGCAGTTGCAAATTTGAAATGGAGCATTTACCAACTATTTTGGCTGATGTACAACAGCAAAAGGCACAGATTTCGTCAGAATTTATCCGCAATAAATTTAAATGAATTAAATGACAAGGAATTTTAGTTTTTCTAACGATTTTTCTCTAACAAAGAGCAAATTCCCCGAAGAGTGTCTATAGGTGGTATAGGCATCCAAAATCTTTAAAATAAGGTAGAGGTAGGCGGTTTATATTAAATAGTAACAATTGGGGACATATTGGGGCAAGAATATACAGAAAAAACGCCAACATCTATTTTGGGCATGCTTGTAGCTTTGGCGCCACGTTTTAAATTCCATATCTCATTTGTTTCTCGCCAAGTGTGTATACACTTTCGTAGTGATGGTCAAATTTTCAGAGTTGCACCGAAAAACTATCGCCTAACTATCGCCAAACAAACGGTCGTTACATTTAGATGCGCTTTGATGCAGGGCCAATTGAGAAAATTCGGAACGGCAAAACCTTATGGACCGTTTGTTCAACGGACGGTAGATGCGCTTTGACGGTGTGTGGGAAGACCCTATAAAGCTTAGTACTCTGACGACGAAAATCCGCCGTTTAAAGGAAAAAATATATATAAATAATGCAAACCGACTTGGTTTTTAAACATAAAAACAGGCAAAATTGTATAAATATTCAGAATATACTTTGATTCATTTGAATTATCGTCCTGCCAGACTTCACCAATGTTATTGGTCAGAGCTGCCACCCCTTGCCAGGATTGCTTACAGCGAAAAGTTATCGAATGTAACCAGTGTTGGGAAGCCATAAACTTGTAACGTTTTTTTATTTGAATTTTTTAATTTTATCCATTTATAAATGTTTTATGAGATTACCTGGAAATATAAACATTTTTATTCTTACAATTGTGTTGAGACAATTTTCTGTCCTTTGTGAAAATATCCCTCGGTTTATATCAAACAGAAAAATGCAGTTATATTTCGCTTTTAAAAAACTGTATAATATATATTTTTATTTAAAAAAAAGACAGTCAGTCTTTGTGCAACAAATGTACATGGATAAATGCCGCGTTTACACAATCCTCCATTCATTCCAATGTGTTTTTTATATTTATTTTGCATTATTATTATTTATACTCTCGTTTTATTTTGGTTGTAAGTACCATTTTAGGGGGAGCAGGTGGATTAAGTAATAGTAATTATCTCCTCTCGTTCCTTTCGTTTTCGTTTCCGTTTCTGTTTAAGCGATACTATTTTGGTTCAAGTCCTTGTGGTTTTATGTACATATTTAAACTAAATTACGAGCTACAAATTACTAGTGTGTTTTGTGTTTTTTGTGCTTTGTGGGCGTTGAATCTCGCTTTGAGTTGTATGTAAGTACAGAGTGTGCGTTTCGTGTGTTTTTCGTGTTACAATAAATATCTCTAAGTTTAAGTATGTCTTAGATGCTAAGGGTACATACATACAAGCTGCTAGGCAGGGGCGTGAATTGGGAAGCAGGGCGGGGTTTTCAGAGGGATGTAAGGCGGGGGGAGGGAATGCAGCTGCTACAAAATATCGGAATTGATTTTTTTTCTTTTTGGAAATTAACTAACATGCATACACACATATACATACGCCCTGGGGCCCTCCAGGATTTTCTTTTTCACGGAGTACCTTTAATTTGATTTGATTTTTTCTCTTTTAGATGTTTTTTCTTCATGATTTATAGCCCCTTTTAAAGGTCTTTGAACATTAATCAAAGAAATCTATAAGCTACTGGGTATTTTACAAATTGAAATCGAACTTTTTTATCTTGGATTTTGGGTTTAATTTAGTGAAATGTTTTGTCCTCGAATTGAAATCAAACTCAAATATTTAAAAAGCAAACTTTTACAACTTTAAATTTAAATTAAAGAATTATGGGAATTAAAATACTTTAGGATATCATTTTTAAACTTCAAACCTCTAATTCATTCCCACAAATTTGACAAAAGGGGTAACCTATTCCAAGTCAAACCACGACTCCGTGAAAGTTATATCCCGAACAGACCCGATAGACAAACCGATTACATAGATATAGATACAGATACATTTAAAGTGAAGACTTAGGACTAAGGCTTACAGCTACGGGCTAATGGCTACAGGAACTAGTGCTAACTCGCAAAGTTATAGCTGCGCACCGCCCGGCCGGGCGTCACCAGCTCCACCTTGATGTTGGCCGTAGCCGTCACCTTGGTGGTGTTGCTGTCCGAGTGAGTCGTCTCCACCGTCACCTCCGGCTGCACCACGATGCTCTGCAGTTCCGGCGGATATACTGCCGCCGGAAATGGAGGCGGTGGCTGCTGATGCTGCTGCTGGGGGTGCGGGTGTGGATGCGGATGCTGGGCGGCTGCCTTGTGATAGGCGGGAGGCGGGGCCGCATAGGAGGCGGGACGAGATTCCCTCACTCCCCCTCCGCCTCCTCCATGATAGCCACCGTAATTCGGGAGCGGGGCACTCCAGTCGTTGGGCATTTGGATGGACGAGTTGCTGGACTTCCAGGACTGGGGCTCCTCGGTGATCGTGGTCAACGACGGGTCGTTCACATCCTTGTAGTTGTGGTGGTGATGGGACTTGCAGCTGCCTCGAGAGGATCGGGATCCCTGCACCACATAGGACTTGCCAGAGCGCTTGCTGCTCCTCACGGGCAGCGGCGAGGGAGTGGATATCCGATCGGGATGCTCCAGGGGCACCAGCTCGGCCTCCGGACCGAGCATGCTCAGCAGAATGGGGAATACTACCAGGCTGTTGCAGGCGCCCACGCAGAGCACTACGAGCAACAGCCAACAGAAGTGCCGAATCACGAACTCAAACGGCGAAGTCGAGAGCATGAAGACCGCCACGCCGGAGGTCAGCATCCCGTGGACCAGCGGGCCCAGGGACATCTGCATGCTCAGCTGGACGCGACGCTGACGATTGCCGACGGATGTCATGAAGCCCTGGAAATTAGAAGAAAAAAGATGTTTATAACAGAAAAATCGTGGCGGAAAACTCTGAGCACTCACCAGTGATATCAGCACATTAAAGCACAACATCATGCCAACGCTGAGGATGAGTATGACGGCTGGAATGGCCGAGAGCTTGATGCCCAGCAAGGTCATGGCCCCAAAGATCTGGGCCAGCGAGGCCAGAACACTGAGGATCACCAGGAAGGCGGCCCAAACGGACAGCAGCAGCAAGGAGACCAAAACCAAGGCAGCCAAGAACACGCAGGCCAGGATCATGGCCAGGGACGATCGCAGGGTCATGTACTGCTCCCAAAAGATGAACGGAATGCCTAAAAAAGGAACTTTAGCTTAGAGAGAGATCCTCATAAGAGTCTTAACTAGCAAACTTACCCGAGGGATAATTGGGCAGACCGAACCCTTCGAACTTTACGCTCAGATCCCGAATGTGACCGATTAAGGTCTTGATCTGCGAAGTATCCGTCAGTCCGTGCAGGTAAAAGGGCATCTGGGCGTAGACCAAGGGTAGGCTCTTGGGGATCTTCAGGTCGTACTCGGTGGGCTGGTGGAAATACTGTCGCGGTTCGGGATAGAGTTTGCCCTGTAAAAGATTGTTTAATAATTAGTTTAAGCTTGTACAATATTATTTAAGGTATTTAAAGGACTTTCAACTTAAAAGGTTTGGTTATAATAGATTTAAATTTAAAATAAATTAAGCTACTAACCTGAGAAGCTCCATAAGCAAAAACATCATTGGTGGCCCACGCCGACAGATAGTTGTAGAAGGCCTTCGGATTGATGATACCATCAGAGTTGACCAGCCGACTCGTCACCACCAGATCCTTGTCCACAGGATTGTCCACGTGGCCCGTCTGCACGATGAGCTTGTAGGCCAGAATGGCATCGCTGCTGGCGTTGGGGAACCAGCACTCCTTGGTCAGCCTTCCATCCCGAATCTCCTCGTCAAAAGTCTTCTGCAGATTGCTCAGCCACTCCCGGAAGAGCAGCAGCCAGAAGTCTGGAAGACCTCCATTATCGTTCTTGATCACATGTGGCACCCGGACGAAGGAGTCGTGGTAGTCCCGCAGCAACTGCTGCTGCGTGGGATACTCAAAGTTGCCCTGGGTCACCGCGTACATGCTGTAGAATCCAAAGAGTCGCGTCTGGGCATCCAGGAACTTGTGCTCGTTGCTGCTCTTCGGCACCAGGTCGATGATATCCAGGCCATCCTGCAGCCGGGTGGAGGCGTACAGGCTGGATATTAACGCGGCCAGGAAACCCATCACGGCCAAGAACTTCACCCAGCTGCGCATTAGGAAGGGTGTGTAGTGCTCGAAGGCAAAGTTGGCCAGCGAGAAGGAGGCCAGCGAGTGGCTGCTTCCTGCCTGGCCTGGAGCCTGAGACCTCTGCTCCAGCAGGGGATTCTGCGCCGGCAGCGGCACCCTGTTGTTGTTACACGCCTTCGGGTGGTGCCTAGACCCGCGTCCACCATTGTTGTTATTCAGGGCCAGCACCTGGGGAGGAGGCGCCACCTTCGGCTGCTCCTTCCACACCGGAAAGCAGCAGCAGAAGATGTCCGCTCGGCCGGCGGTGCGTCGTCGCAGATCCAGCGAGATCATCGCAGGGAAGACCAGCAAAGCCGCCGCCAGATTGGAGCACATGACGATCGCAGCCTGCAGGCAGAAGACCTTGAGGGCCGGCACCGGGATGAAGGCAGCCGCAAAGAAGGATCCCGCCGTGCTGCAGGCCCCAAAGAGGATGCTCGGACCCACCTTCTTCAGGATGAGCTTTGTCTGCTCCCGCCGATTGCTCTCCGCATAAGCAGCCGTCAGCATGAAGATGTGGTCGACGCCCAGTCCCAGTGCCAAAAACGGCACAACCTGGGTGCTGGCCGCATTGAAGACGATGCCCAGGAGGGCGCACAGACCCAGTCCCGCCGCTGTACTGAAGCACATGAGCAGGACACCGGCCACGCCGACGCTGCTCTGTCCCCGGACGGGATCCCTCCAGCGGAGGAGCGTGCAGAAGGCATACAGCACGGTGACTGCCACTCCAATCACGATAGACAGAGCGCTGGGATGCGAGAACTTGGCCAGGATGTCATCCAAAGCCGCCGAGCTGAACACGTAGATGTCGTAGTTGGCCGAAATCCGCGACTGCTTGCGCAGCAGCTGCTCCACTTCCCGCGAGAAGTTGCGCTGCCAGGCGTTGAGCACCTCGGCGGCCTTCTCCTGGGTCCAGCCCAGATGATGCACCTTGTAATTGTCATACCATTGATCGTACATCTCCTTCTCGGTCATCAGCTGCACCACCGTCTGCAGGGCCTGCGCCTTCCTCAAGTGTCCGCTGCGGTTCCTCTTTGCTCCGCCCACAATGAGCTCCTCCGGCCAGTGCATGTACTTGGCCGCATAGCCGTAGCACCCGCCGGAGAGGATGGCTCCCACATCGGGCGGCTGGCTGCTGTTCTTGTTGGGCGCCGTATTGGGACAACTGGGATTCTGCGGATTGAGGCAGGGCTTCTCCATATATCCGCTGCCGATGGCCGCCCGCTTCATGTACTGTTCGACGGTCTCGAAGTCGAAGCTGATCTTCTCCTCGGTGAGCTTTTGTTTCATGTACTGCATCACCGAGCTGGGGTTGAGTGTGGTCCACAGGAGTCGCTGTTCAATGCCACTGAAAGAGCAGAGAGAAAGTGGGGAAAGGTCGGGTTAGTTGGGTATTAATGGTATCTTGAAGATACTGTGGCTTATATTAAATCTACTTACGGTATGACCACCGCAGATTCCGGTCCCAGAAGCTGGCTACCCTCCCAGAAGCAGTCCAGCGGCGTGATAATCGAGCATGGGATGAGGTGGCGCAGGATCTGCTCGACGTAGTATGTGCCCTCGAATGAGGGCGCACTGGGTTTGTTGCACATGTCTCGCAACCCCCATTCCGTGTCGTACAGATGCACCTTGACGGCGGTGGCCTTGACCAGGACATCGAGGTGCGCCAGTAACGCCTGCGGATGCAGGACCGAGGCATTGGGGTCATGTGTCGTCTGTATGAGCAGCTGATGCGTCGTGGACTCGTCCTCTCCGATCGTCTTCTGTGTGTAGGCCAGCTCCGCCTCCAGGCGACCGCCCTCTTGGATCCACAGCTGGTGAACCTTGGAGTGGATCTGGGCGCTCTTCAGGCCGACGCAGAAGGTGCTCAGCACCAGGATCGCCACGAAGAGCACCTTGCCCGCATGCTTCTGTACGGAGCTGCCGAGTGTTTCGAGGTGGGACTGGAATACTGATCGCAGATAGATCGCTGTCCGGCTGCCACGCGCCTTGCCCTGCAATAGCGAAAGGAATGCGGAATTTTATGTTTAGTTTCTGGTATTTTCTAAGCTTTTTCTCTCTCTCTCCCTCTTTCTCTGCAGCCATAAATAAGACATTAAAATTATAACGAAACAGCGTGTGGCCATATAATTTATCTCTGCGACTCCCCAGTGAAGCCGTCATCCGCACATGGGCGTAGTTTTCACAGAATTCTTCAAATTTTTCAATACTTGGCACCCTTGGCTGCCACGTCCATGCCTCCGTTGACCCCACCCAAGTCTCCAAGTCCCGATCCCGAGCCTTGCAACCACAAAAACAACACAACACGCCGCTGTCGTCATTGGCGGCCCAAAAACGAGGGGAAAAAAGAACCAAAAAAGACACAGGCAAACCTACAGCTGTGTTCACGGAAATAGCAGTGCCCAACGACCTGCACGTTTAAGATCGGAAAATCCTGTTACAAACACTATTTTCATAAATTTTTTTTTTCATAAAAGCTTAGTATATTTAATTATTAACAATACCACAATCATTTAATTTAGGTAACATAAACCTTTTAGAAGATATAGCTAATAACAACAAAAAAGGTCTATATTATGCCGATCATTGAAATAGCAGTGAAAAACTAAAATTCTTCATAAATTTAAAAATTTCGTATAAGAAACCTATTTCTTCTTAAATTCCAATTGACTATGATCTAATATTTTGTTAAATAGCCTTTAGAAGCTATCATAGCCTCATACCTGGGTGGCATGGAGTCCACCAAGTCTTAGCAACGCTTAAGGGGAATATGGCCTCATTCCTCCTGCACAAATCGCTAAAGCTGCGGCTTAGAAGTCGGAAACTTCTTTAATACGTAGCCCTTGATGTCTCCCATAAGTTTTCGATCGGAATAATATCCGGGGACTGTGCAGGCCATGGCAGTGCATCCACTTTTTCATTAAGAACCCACTCCTTGGCCACCTTGATGGTATGATTAGGGTCACTGTACTGCTGAAATGTCCAAATTAATGGCATATTTTCCTCAGGATACGGCTGCAAGACAGTTTTTAATATTTAGACGTAAACATAATGGTCTTTGATCCCACCGATCATATTTACGGGACCTAAAACGTTGTATGAAAAGTATACCCATACCATGATTTTTAGGGCACCGTGTTTTACTGTCTTCAGCGTATGGTTTGGGGGGTACTATCTATTTGGGGGTCGACGGACATATTGTCTTGTCCTATTCCACCAAATAAAACCAGTTTGGAGTCATTTGTCCAAAGGATATTACGCCATTTGAAAAGTGGCAGTTCAAGGGGCTATTGGCGAACTCCAATCTGGCCTTGATATGCCTATAACCAAGCAGTGACATTTTCCATGGACTTCGCGAATCTAAAATTTATTCAATAAGTCCCCGGCGAATGGTCCCATGACTGATTCCCATGCCAATTCCCGCTCATATATCCCTAGAGGATGCAAAAGGACGAGCTTTGCTGAAGCGAAGTACGCGTCGAGCCTGTACAATTGGGGTTTTGCGAATCGTACCCCGTTTTTTTTGGGTTCGGTTCATATTTTATGACTTATAAACTATTTTAAAAGAACAATTTGAAAGATTTGGAGACTCTTTACATGTTTTCCCCTTCTTTCTAGGCTAAATTATCTGATATCTTTCTCTCATGGAGCAGTGAGGTCCTGCGCCCACTAAAATAATTTTTTTTGCGTTGTAAAGGTGTATTATAGTATAAACTATAATAACGACCTTAATTAAAGTAATTTTTTACAAAATTAAAAGAAATTTCGGCACTTTTTGCGAAAGAAAATTAAAAACTGCTATTTCAGTGATCGGCCAAAACGAGCTGCATATGTGAAAAAATATCAATAAAACATAAAAGTAGAGCAAATCTAACGGAATTTTTTCTCGATTCTTATCTTTATGTTCCATTTTACAAAAACAATGTGCAATAGATCAGCTTGCAAAAAGGAATATGTACAAAAAAACGTTTTGAAGTTGTTCCTCTGTCGCACTGCTATTTCCGTGAACACAGCTGTATAATCGCCTGCTTGGGCAATTGGATCGATCGCTGGCCGGGACTCTGGGCCTGGCCGGCTCTACCCCTTTCGCATCTGCAGCTCATTTCGTGCCGCCGCTGCTTCATCTGTCCGGCTCCCCCAGCTGCTGCTGCTGCAGTGCAGTACGGAAATTGAGCCCCTTTCCCAAAATAAAAAAGGTAAAAAACGAGAACCATGAACAAAAAAAAAAAAAGATAATAATGAGGCTCGCGCTAATGCTAACGTCTCAATCGAAGGTTTAGTTCAACAATCAGACAAACAGTGGAGCAAACAGGCTTAGACATGCGATTAAAATGAAGTACAACTTAATCTTCCGATTAAAATTGGTACTAACAGGAGGCTTGCTATAATCTTGATTCTTGCAATAATTATCCTGTTAAAATAAAACTTTACCGCGAAAAATTAAAGTGTAACCAAACACAAAGTATTTAAACTCAAGTAAATTGAAAATATTTCCATTAGTTATTTAACTTTAGGTTAAGACTTCTTTAAATTATAACCATTAGTCGGTGGTTACTATACAGCAGCATTGTGGTACAAGTTTATACACCCAAATGGTAATTTTCAAACTTTAAGGTAATATTTTTATAAAAATATTAGTCATACCTCAAGGTTAATAATGTTATAAAGAAATGGTTTCTACATGTTAAATTGTTAGTCCTAAATTAGCCTTTTTCATGTTAAACTTTAAATGTCATGTCAATGTAAACCTTAATTAGTTATAGAAAGAGGCCAAAAATAGTCATAAGAAATCATTAATAAAATTATTAAAGTTTAAACAAAACCTAAGAAAGAACCCACCTAACCCACTGTGCCCCCACAAGAAACGGCGCACCCAGCAATGTCGGGGGATCGAGGCAGCCAAATAACACATTCCATGCGGTCCCGAACCCGAGCCCAGACCCGAAACCGACTCGAAACTTCTCCACGGCTTGTGGCGTTTCCGCGCTGCGCCCGCCTTTTATCGCTTTTCACAGATTTTTCCCGGGCCAAGTCAGGTTGTGGCCCAACGAAAGAAAAAAAAAAACGAAATGAAGGGGAAAAGCTGCAGTGCCCAGGAATGGCTTTATTGTTTGGTCTTTTGAGCGTTTTACGACTACCGTTAAGATAGAGCGGGAGTCAGTCGTAAACAATCACCGCTTGATGTCTCTGTTAGCAGTGGACGTAGTGGGAATATATACGCTAGATCCCACTAGGAATCCGGCTACATAGGGACACTACTTCCTGCTGCTTGTTTATGCAGCCCAGTAAGCAGCATTTCCGGAAGGAGGCAAACATCAAACGCGGCTAGACTTGGGCTCTCGACTTTGTCGCCATTAATTAAGTCGTTGGCGGCACAGCCACTTTGAGAGACTGACTGCCTGCGGCGGCGATCTGGTCTCGTGTTCGTGGAATTTTTCCATAATTTTCTCCCCCAGCGCACGGCCAAGGTGAGGTGCGCAAACGCAAACAAAAGATGCACAAAATTCTAGGAATTTTTCACCGCTCCTTGTGGCTTGTGGAGCAAAACGAAAAAACATTGTTGCATTTTGGCCCCTAGCGGCTGTTGTGGTTTAAAAATAAACTTAATCTAGATTTTGGGGGGTCGGCATTCCACAGCTTTAAGCCTTAAATTGAGTAATCTGAGTCGAAGGATTCTGACTATACAAAATGTATAGTTCTCAAATAAGATATTTACTGAAACCTTTGGTATTTGTAAGATACATTTGAAGTTATTTTTACGTTGAAGTATCTTTTGCTTAAAATATTCTGTTTTTTCTGTCATAAATATTTTTAAAACAATTTAAACTCAAGCCAAATCAAAAACACATTCAAATTTAAGTATTTTTCAATTTTTTGTGGATAAATAAAATGTGGAACAAGTCTAGATTAAACTCTAAAAACCTCTTAAATAATAAACCCATTTTGTGAGGCCTCTAATAAAAGCTTCGACATATATAACTTTTTTTTTTGCCTTGCCAACTGTTCGCTCAAGATTGAGCCATCAAGCGGGACGGCTTTATGTTAACGCTTGTCAGCCCGGCTGCTGGCTCTCTTTCTCGGCTGCCTTTGTATCTCGAAAAACATGCTGCTCGATCTGTGCGACATATCATCAATCTTGTGCTGTTTTTGCCTTGCGTGCCTCTTTTTTCCTTTCCTTCCTTTTTTTAGTCTTAGTTTTACTTTTTGTTTGTGTTAGTGCCCACCCCCGCAGTTCTCTGTGAGGAAATGTCACGGCCATTGATTTATGATCCTGCCCGGGGTTTCCTCCGCTTGCATTTTCAAATGAAAATGTTACTTTAATTCCGTGTACTTGCCTTTGTTGCCGCTGTTGCGACAGCTTCATTAGAAATGCGCACACACCGAGCGGCGGACTCAGCCTCCTTAATCCGCAGGCATAGAAAACGGAGGAAAATGGAGGAAAACCAAAGACCAGCTTAGATCCCATGACGAATGGGTACGAGTAAGAAGGAGATATGAGCTAGAGCCCAGCAGGTGCAGGTATATACACACAGATATGGTAAAGAAGTCTATCCTTCGATATGTTTATAAGGCAGAATATGTGATATTTAAAGGGATTTATTCATGTTAAAAAAAAATTATTTTTTACAATTATTTTCCATATATTTAAAAAACGTATTTTTTGTAGTTTTGTCAACTGCCTAAAACGATACTTTATTACCCATAGTGGAAGTTATAAAAAGTCCTTGAAGATTTAAATTTATTATGAAACATTCTGTAGTACATCTTGAAGAAAGCAACACATACTCTTGATTAAACCCAAAGATAATTAGTATCTTAATTATAGAATTTTCCCAGTTAATGCTCTGTCAGAATTCCAGTGTTTGGCGTTCTCTGTTGTTTACGATAAACACAATTTCTCAATCCCTCCATCACGCATCAATCAATCAAAGATCCGACACATCAACTGGCGGCGGGGTCTTAGAACCAAAACCAAGAGAAATAATATAAATTT